TTTATACACTATACAGATTAAATTATATAGAACTGGGCCAGTGTCTCCGTATATTTACAGATGATCAGGTGGATTGGTAGACGGACGGAGGGTGGAGAAGTAATTAATAAGGTGGATGTTTGTTCTTTAAGACAAAGACAGAGGGAGACAGAGAGAGGGAGAGAGAACTGAGATCCGGGAGAGATAAGAAAGCACGCACACCTTGTCTGGTTGTGAGCGGTGCTCCCTTCGGTAACTCTTGCTTTGGTCTGTTTTCTCTTTGGGGAGGGAAGGGTTCTTTTTGAGAAACAAAGGTGTCTGTATGTGTGTAGGTAGGTATTTAGATAGGTAGGTAGGAGGTTGGTAGGTAGGTAGATAGATAGGTAAGTAGGAGGAAGGTAGGTAGGTAGGAGGTAAGTTGGTAGGTAGGTAGGTTGGTAGGTAGGTAGGTAGGTAGGTAGGAAGGTAGGTAGGTAAGCAGGTGTATGTGTGCTTCTGTTTGTGTTTCTCTGTGTGCATGTGTATATGAAAGTGTAAGTGTTTGTTTTTGGGGGATTTTTTTTTTTTTTGGGGGGGGGCTTCGTGGATATTTTGGTTTTGCTCATGTGTTTACTTATCTTTATAAATGTGAAATAACTCGGGTGTACAAACATTAATTTGAAAGGGAAAACCACTGAGCCTGTCTTGCTTTCTCATTGATGAATTCTAGCTTTTGGAACGTGTTATATTCTTGGTTATGTTTATGGAATTTTTCACCATGCCAATAACGTACGTACGAGCATTTGTATCATGCTGCGAATATTTCGTATAATGTGACCTTTACCAATACGCGAAGATGTTTGCGGTATTTCTTCGAACGTCATCATCAGCTTCGCCAGTGCAGGTGGGGGGGTCCCTAAGTTTAACTATGGGGTAGCGAAGAATTAGCCCCTGCCGTGTTACTGAGTGTCGTAAGAGGCGACTAAATGTGCGCAAGTCTAGTCTTCCGAAAAGAGGCAGTTGGCGGAGGGCCAACTACCCGACCCTGTCAATACTTTATAAGTGACAGAAATGCTAACTGTTTTAGAAAGAAATTATGGCCATATGAGAGCCCGCTCGCACCCGCACATGCACAGATATTTATATAATCATACATACTCAAATGAGCTTGGGAGCCCTGGTGAATGCATAAAAGATCAACGGTTCTATGGGAAGTGGTTTCATTGATATGCGTACTATAGATATTTGAATGACATTTAGCTGAAATATGTAAGAGCAAGGTACGTGACAGTCAGGAAAACAGACAGACAGACAGACAGACAGACAGACAGACAGACAGACAGACAGACAGACAGGCAGACAGACTGACAGACAGACAGACAGACAAGCAGGCAGGTAGGCAGACAGGTATGCAGGTGGAATGAGAAATTTGAACACTTCATTAAACATTAACTTCCTTTTAAACTTTTAAGAGCATTACACCGGAAGCAAAATTTGGCAGTAAATTTGAAAGATACTGAGAGACAGAAACAAAGAAACACAGAGAGAGAGACAGAGAGAGGCAGAGAGAGGCAGAGAGAGACAGAGAGAGAGACAAGGAGAGAGAGAGTGTTTGTGTGTATAAGAGAGAGAGAGAGAGAGGGGGGGGAGGGAGAGGGAGGGAGAGAGAGCTATTAAGCAAGGAAAACTTGTAACATACACATTTGGAGCGGCCTGCTCAGAGACAAACGAAAAGAATGGGAAATAAACATTTTATTAATCCTTGACAAAACGGGACTGCATGGTTACCATTTGCAAGTGAATTCCAATTAAGATCACAATAACGATTGCTGGTTGTCGCAGAGTTGCACCTTGTCTTAGACATGTTAAGGAAAAAAATATCTTGCCCAAGGAAACATACCCTGACCACCGTTTTCATTGTCTCAACGGCATTGCCATCGCTCGAAAACCTTTGTTAGCTAAGCACTCAACCTGTTGGCCCTCCGAAAGACGAAGAGACGGAGAATCCGCGCATTTGGTTTTATCGTTCAGAACACCGTTTCGGGTCTTTCGGGTCTTTTATGACTGTAATAACTGTACTTCGGAGAATGTTTGTACTCCAATATTTAACGTCACTCTGATATACACACGGAAGTAAACCCTATTAAGTTCATACAATTTGTGCGGTGTATGGCCGCATACGCGTTTTCCTCTACTTCATATGCAGAGAGCGCTCTTTACCTCCAGTAAACAGTCGGCTTTATTAAACGAGGACAAGGCTTATTCTTTCAATACAAGGACTCTTAGTACTTACTCTTGCACAGGTGTCACAGTATATGTGTATTATTATAGTGTGGTTTTGGTTTTTCGATGCCCATCTTGATATAGAGCGCATATGTAAGAGCTGATGGTTCTCATTAACATCTACCATCAATAGTGTCCAGGTAATTTTGTGCAAAGCCTTGGGAGCTATCATAAGTACCCAGGCTTCAGGAATACCATGTCTGAGATTCGAACACAGACCTGTTGCACTGCTGTCCAGCGTGACCCGTTAATGGTATCAAAATTCTGCAAATTGTTCTGACCAATTACGCCAGAGCATGAGCATGAACAGACATATCTGGGAGCATAGAAATAAGCAAAAGTGGGAATGAAGATTTAGGGCCTTTTCACATAGAGATGACACAACAGATAAAACTCGTGAACAGGTCCCAGCAATGGACTTTTGTTTAAGATATTGCTGCTTCTTCCCCCTGAGGGTCGGGCTGTGAGCTTGTGTCCCTCTGAGGTTTTCAATTCTCGTTCCTTCACGAGACCAAAGTCCCATGTTCCGGAGGTAATCCTGCAACAAGGGTTTTGTTAGGCTGGCGGAGGGGAGAGGGGGAAAATTAGATTATCCTGTACAAATCAGAAAGATTTCCTGGCGCTTTAAAGCATACGCTAGATTTTTTAATATATTCTCCTTTGGTGGCTTTTGCTAAACGTATACCATAAAAGTCGAATTCAAAGAGTACCCAAAGACAATCTCTTTCCAATGTCTAAATCGAGTTCTTTAGTTTTTCGGAACCTGTTATTGTTTGTTTGTTTGTTTGTTTTTTCAACAGAAAACAGAGCATTACCTTCAAACAGCTTATCTTTTTGATTGGTAGTATCAATGGCATTCGCAATAGTCAGATTATACGATTTTTTAATTATTTTCTCTTTTTTTCT